ACGAGAATCCCAAGGACTTGGAGGGGAACACGATTGGTTATCATTGSTCCTTGGGCTTCAGCCAAAAACGAGGCAAGACCAGACAACACATGTGCTCTGAGGTGAGGAGCAGACAGGGTGTAAACCTCCTGTTCACTGGGAGTTCCTGCCTTGGCTGGGAGCGTCTGCTCTGCATGGGAGGGGGCACCCCAGGGGCTGCTCAGAAGAGCAGAGCTGAGGTATGGCCAAACCCAGCCACCCTCTGCCTGCTGTGGTGTGTCCAGTCACCCGAGAACACCTGAGATTACACCCCCAGAGCCAGGAACCACTCRAAGGTAAGGCATGGCATACYYTGAATTCCCATCCCAGAAGGTAAGGCATGGCATACCTTGAATTCCCATCCCAAAAGCATGCAGGAAGCTGCTCTCCCAACAGACCTCTGGCCCTGTCCTCCTACTGTGACAGTGGCCTTGAGCAAGTGGGAGGCACAGTCAGAGCTCTGGGCTCAGGTCACCCACAGGAGGGTCACAGGACCCTGCCCACACCTCCTTGGGCTGGAGCAGGCAGGGACACAGAGATCATCACCCCCTGCAGATGTGGTGAGGKTGGGCACTCTTGGAACACCTGGGCTGCACCATGTACAACATCTGTGACAGGGGCTCCAGGCACCCACATGAACCACAGAAAAGGCTTCTTTGGAAACTGCTGATGCTGAACACCTCTGCCACTGCCATGTTTTTGTGTTYGGTGATGGAGGACAGGTTCTTCCAGACTCCAGAGGCAGTGCTGTCTGGAGCTGTTGCAGCCGGGCAAGCACTCATAGAGTCTGCCAGTCTGGACAATCACCATAGCTTTAGTTAGAATAGAAAACATCCTTCATGCTAACAACTATTTCAAATAGACCAGTGTTAGGCATGAACAAGCTTAACAAATGCTGTAATTACCGAGTTTAAACAGCAACTGTTCCTCCGTGAAACTTTGGGAATATGACTTCCTTGGGCATCGTTTAGGGGTCTCTGCCTCCCCCTGTCCGCAGGCCACATAGAGAACCACACCTGAGATTTGGCACCTCTGGAGAGAAACCAAAAGCTGATGCCTGTGGTCAGGGGAGGTGCCTGCTGGGATCCTGAGGGGATGGGCCCAGGACTGCAGCCACCCCATCCAGCAGCACCAGCTGAGCCCCTCCTGCCCATTCCCACACCAGGGGATGAGGCTGACAGCCTCAGCCAACRCAGCATCCCTCTGAGAGGTGCCCCTGCCCTGCCAGACAGGTGGGCRGGGGGCTGCAGTGATAGGGAGAGGAATCAAAACTCACCAAGCATCACCGTGTCTGGCTCCAAAATTTATTGAACTACAAAAACACAGCACTCAGCACCAGGTCTGGAGGAATGTGGGGGATCACCCCCCTTCCATTAACAGAGGGCAGGAGCTTCAGCTTCTGCTTGATTTGAACACAGACAACACCCCAAACCCAACAGAAACAATGCTACATCAGAACTACAATGGTAACAGCACARAATTTACAAAAATATAAATAACCTATTCGTAACCTTAAAGAAAAATAACATCTACCATAAAAAACAACATGTATTCCCTTGGGTAAACCATGGCTACAGAAATGTAGTGATTTTTTTTTGAAAAGCACCAGAGTCTGAAGTATTAAATAATCCAACACAGAGAGGGTATATCCCCCCAGCACTTGCAGACTCTTCCAAGAAGTGTGCCCAGATCAATAACACCAAGCTTTCTTCAGTCTTGCCTATTTCTATAAAAGCACAKTGGAGGGAGAGCTCTCATGAGCCCCCTGTTCAGGAACAGCACCCGAGGGATGTTCACCAATTGTTCACCAGAATAAACACTTTAACAACACTGAAGCATGTGCCTATTTTAAGTCTATGCTTAAGAGCTTCCCAGAACAGGGCTGGATTTAAACTTATCATACAAATTCCTCTGCAAATCAGACTTCCAGGCAAGACTGGTGTGGAGACCAATTGCTTGTAAAAAAATAACCCTGTTGCACTGGAGCGTTTCCACTGTTCAGTTGCAGCTCAAGTTTGCACAAGATGCAGAGTTATTTGATTTTTTTCACCTCTCTCTGAGCCATGCCAGCTTGGCACAAGTGGCTTCCTGAGGCTGTGACRTGAGATCCAGCACTACAGGAATTTCCCTCCCTTACATTCCATGTATTATGTTGAAAACACTATTAAAAAGCAAAAGTCAAGTATCAAGTCCATTGGTTCCCTGCTGAAGCAGTTCCCTGCCCAGGGWTCACCGTTGTTCTGATGTCCAGTCACAGCATTATCCCTGTTTTCAAGGCTCTCATGGTTCCCTGAGGGCTCTGGCTGGGCTTGRGGCAGCCTGGCCAAAGGGTCTTAGGTTGGGCTAAAGGCTACCCTTTGAACTTTTGGCCCTTGTAAACACAGCTGGATTTGTCACCAGAGCTGAAGGCAGGTGGCTGYCACAGGCACAGTGAGAGTGGGGAGCAGCCCTTGGCTGGGAGCTGGGGGTCCCTCACTGCTGAACAGCCCCATCCTGCAACTTTTGGGCAGTGTCCAGCCCTGCTGGAGCACCAAGCAGTGTGACCTGCACTGACACCACGAGTGAGGCTGTGTGGGGGAGCCAAGAACAGTTCAAACACACCCAAAAAACAGCCCCTGCCCACCAGGGCTGAGGCAGCACACTCAGTGGCATGGCCAGGGCCTGAGGGACAGTGCCAGTGGGGCAGGGGCTGTGGCATGGCACACACCACCCTACACACCCTGTAGGGCACGGCACACACCACCCTACACACCCCGTATGGCACAGCCCAGACCCACACCCAGCACAGCAACACCCAGCTCATGCGCTGCACCCTCAAGGTAGGGGTTAACTTTTGACTGTAAATAATATTGCTCAGAGACATCAAACAACRAACAGTTTGCCTTCAAAGCTAGGAAGGGAGTGGGGTTCATTTCTTTATACATGTGAGGAAAAAAACCCAAACAAATGAACTAAAGCTTCCCTCCATTTGCTTGGCCCAGAGCMCCACCCTGGCACACCAGTGGAGCTGCCCAGCATATGAAAATATCTGCAACACACACCTGTGAAATGTCCCCATTATTCACAACTTTAATTTAACAGCCCTTGCTGCCCTGACACTGCTCTGTGACATGACTGGGCTGGCTCTGCCATTCYGCCCGGCTGTCACAGCTCTGTACACTACAAGTGACCACACACTGGTGGCACCGGTGACACAGGAACACACAGGACAAGCCACCCAGTCAGTTCCAACTTCAAAGCCAGGGCTAGCAAGCTGAGCTGCAGGGAGGCTCTTACTCAGATGCTGTGGGTGAAGTTATTTTCCTTCCCGCTGGAAGTGACTGTGTCCACAGAGGGATTAAATATTTGTTGGATTTTTGTGAGGTGATTAAACCCAGCACTCTCCCTGCCACAGAAAAGCCTCAAACAGGAAATCCCTGGCCCCAGGCTGTGAGTGCTGCAGCAACACTCCCGGCTGCTCCCTAATGGCCCCAAGGGCAGCAGGAATCTGACTAATCCTGACCCCACACAGCACGAGGTTCAACGCTGTGGGTCTTGGGAGCAAAGAGCGATGAAATGACCTTGACTGTGGAAGAAACAAACAGAGAGGGAAAGCACCAGGTCCGGCTGAAACTGCCCGTGCCTTTGCTTATCTAACACATCCTGGGTGTGTTCGAGTCCCARCATCATTAAACCGGGAAGGAAACACCAGCAGCTATTAATACCCGGGGGTGGAGGAGATCTGCCTTCCTAGAGGGGSACCCGCTTCTTGGTCAGATAGGAGAGGTCCTGGGGGCCTGGCTGGGGGCAGCAGGCAGTGGGGTAACAGTGCCACTTGCTGGTGACCGCCACAGCACCGGCTCGGCCTGAGACCCCGGGACAGGCAGGACAGCAGAGAGCAAACCCAGCCATGGCAGCGAGGGACAAAGCTACAGAGGCAGAGCAGGCAGCTCACACCGGGTGATGCCGTCTGGGAGCTTCAGGATAACTAGGGTGACCAAATCACAGAATATTCAAAGTTGGAAGGGACCACAACGATCAAGTGAATGGCCCACCCAGGGATGGAGCCCCAGCCCGGTGTTATCAGCACCACGCTCGGTCAGCGCTGCCGGGCACTGAGCCACCGCCGCAGCCCCGCTGGCAGCTGCTCCGCCCGTGACCCCGCGGGAGCGGCCACCGCAAATCCTGCGTGCCTGGCCGCCCCCACACCGCTGTGCCCCGCTCAGGAACGTGCCCCCGCAGCCCCCGCTCCTGTCCAGGGCCACCAGCAGGGCCCCAGTGGCCAGGGCAGACTGAGAACAGCCCAGCTGCCCGCAGCCCCCAGGCTCAGGCACAGCACCGCAATCAGGGTGACAGCAAGCTCTGACAAATCCCTCAGGATGAAATTCCAAGCAGAAGGGTGTTCCCCTGCCCAGTAGCAACTTCCAGGAATGAGAAACCAGGCCATTTTTTTAGCAGGAAAAGAAAGAAAAGTATTATTTTAAAAGAAGCTGTTTCTTGTGTGGCTGGCACAGGAACGTCACTGCTGCCTTTGGCCACGGTCACAGCTTCAGCCCCCAACTGCCACCTGCTCCCCAGGGCATGGCAGTGCCGTGTCCCTGACCTGACACCCTGTGCCACTGCAGGTGGCTTGCAAAGCCTTGAGGTGGTGGGCAGTGGACAGCCACAGGGCTGGGGTGAGCCAGCACCCACCCTGGGCCAGCAGCCACAGTCCCACAACAAGGACACACATCAGCTCATCCTGAGTATCAGTCTGAAATTCCTGCCAGGATCCTGCACAGCACCACAGATGGACACGAGAGGAAGGTGCCAGGGTAGCACAGAGGGACAAAGGCTGCAGCCCAGCACATCAGCCATGCCAGGTCCTCTGCCAAGGAAACTGCAGCACAGAGGGAGAGAAGCAACTGAAAAGTAAACTGGGAAAGTGACAGCGGGCACTGGGGAAAGCAGAACATGGGCAGAGAAAGGATGGGAAAGCTGGAATGGAAGCGGGGGTGATGGCTGGGCTCACAGGAGGGCATGGCCCATGGAAACCGAGCCCCATGGCTGAGGGACCCYATGGCAACAGCGGGGCAGGACAGGGCTCACTGCGGAGCTGGAGCACCACAGCACGGACAGTGCAGCSACTGACCAGCAAGGGTGCCACAGACAGAGGAAAACAGCCTCTGGAGGAGTCTGAGCAAGCCATGGAGCTGGCAGAAGGCACAGCTGTGCTTCCTGGAATCCTTTTGCAGGGATGCCCCCGTCGTGTCCTTCCGTTCCATGATGCAAACACCATCCCTGTGTTCTCCAGCCATGCACACGGGGAGGTTGTGTGACTGCACCAGATCCTCTCCCACACCAGTAACACAGTGCATGGAGCTTCCTCCGTCCCTCCCTGCCCTCTAGCGCTGGCGGTCCGGCGTGGGGCTCAGTGTGAAGTGGTCRCAGAGCAGGAGCAAGGCGTCAAAGCGCTGGAGCCGCTGCAGCGCCTGCGCCAGCAGCGGGACAGTGACGGCAGCTCCTGMGTAGGTGAAGTGTGTGACCAGCTGCTCGAAGCCCGAAATCCGTCCCAGCAGCTGCGGCATGAGCCCCAGCTCCAGCGCCACGTGGCTGAAGTTCTTCACGCCGTTCAAGGAAGGGTCCAACAAGAAGGCAAGAGACTGCACCAAGGAATGGGGCAGCTCCGCTATGGGGAGACCTGGGGGCAGCAACACAGCGAGGCAGCGTTAGAATCCATCCTACCCAGACAGGATGAGGGCAAGGGGAACAGCCAGCCCCCAGCCTCAGTCCTGCCCAGAGGTGAAGGGTMACCCTGCCAGGGCAGGAATCTCCTCCAACATCACTTTTAGAGCTCAGCAACATGGAGCTGGCTCAGTCCTGGGGAAGCTGGTGACTGGTGACACCTGCCCGCAGGCCACTCAAGGCAGCAGCGCAGAGAATGTGCCCTGTGGACCAGCACCAAGGCCACAAGTCAGGGAGTCCCTGGTGGGGACATGGGGGGCTTTGAGAGGAGTTCCATTCCAAGGACCTGCCTCTCTGATACTCTAGTGCTTGGAATACAAAGGTGAGACTGGAAGGCCGCTTACCCTTGGCTGTGCTGCTGATCTGAGTCACCAGGCTCTGGGCATCATCCACCTGGCAAGACAAAGACCCCAAGGTTGGTGGCAGTCAGCAATGCCTGGCACTGCTCCCAGGGCCATCACAGGGGCTCAGGGAATGCTGCTTCTCCTCCAGCCTTAATATGGCCACCCCATATTAACGTACTTCAGTCCACGTTCCTACCCCTACGCTGAGCCCAGCCCCTGTGCCCCAGCCTCAGGCAACTGGCAGCAGTTCCTTGGACTGGTGAGGATGGAGGAACTTACCGGCTGCTCCCCAGGTGGGATTTCAGCTGTGGGCAAGTGATGAGCACCCTCCTGCACCACAGTCCCGCTCTCTGCTGGAATCCTCCTCATGGCCCGGCTTGCCGCATCCTCCAGCCGCTCGCCACCCACAAACTCTGCCTGTGTGGAGAACTTCTGGAGATCCAGCTCAGTGCACTCCACTGGTGCATGTGGCCACTTGTGCTGCATCTCGGAGGCACAGGAGGAAAGGGGRGCCAGAGCCTCCACTGTGCCCGGCCGGCCCTGCCTGGGCGTGGGGGGTGGCAGGACCCCTTCCAGGCAGTCRCCGTGGCCCGAGGCCCGGATGAGGGGCTGGCTTTCCAGGAGGCTCCTGCCCAGCTGGGCCTTGGAGGCAGYGCTGACTGCAATGGCTGGTGGCAAATCCATCTCCTGCTGGAGAGAGGGGAGCTGCAGACCCACGGCTTCCCCGTCTGAAATGAACTGCACCACTTCCACGGGCCCTGGAAGCAGAAACCAGCACGGATCAGTGAAGCTCAACCACCCAGCTCTGTCCTTCCTGCCTAAGGGCATCTCCTCCTGGGAACATGTGTAGAGCCCAGCACCGCCCTCCCTCCCCCGGGAAGGCAGCAAGAGCAGGTACCTTCTGCCTGCCTGTAGCAAGGGCTCAGGTTCTTCACACCCAGGCAGCAGGGGCCAGACATCTGCTCCTCGCACAGGAACCTGCCGGGCGCTGCTGCCGTCGGGAAYGTTGCTCGCTGGCCCGAGAAGTTCTGAGTCCTCAGGAAGACTTGGAGGATAAAGGAGAAACAGCCTGAGCAAAGGCTTGGCTCGCTGCCCCGGCATGTTCTCAGCCCTGTGGTATGTCTGCCAGTGAGGAGCTGGGAGCCAGCAGCTCGTTGGCATGCTGCTGGATGCCATCCTGCCCCAGCCCTGGCCACTAAACCTACAGCCCTCTTCCTTCAGCAGCTAAGAGCCACTCAACTGGAGAAACCTCAGAAGGGAGGATTGCCAGTTCTGAGTATGAAATGGCCTTCTCCCCCTCCTGACGGCCCTACAAAGGAGGAAGGCTCCTCTGTGCCACTGAGTGGGCAAAGCACATGAGAGGTCCTGCAGGCACGAGAAGCAGGATGAGGGGTCTGCTCTGGAGCTGAGGTACAGCTGGGTCACTGCTGTGAAAGCAGCAAAGCACAGTGACAAGGGCCATGGGCACAGGTGAAAGGCACAGCAAGGAGAGAGCACCAACTCACCTCTCTGGCACTGGCTTTTCCAGAATCGCTTGCAGTAGATGATGGAGAGTGCCAGAAGCACCAGGACGATGATGACCAGGGCGCTGCTGGTCAGTGCGAGGAGGGCCGTGTCCTGTGGTGGCACAGTGGGGACAGCGACCTTCACCAGGTTTGTTCTGGACCGACCTGCAAACAGCCACAAAGYGCTGGAGCCAAACTCTGAGGCTTGGACCACCCCTTCCCTGCCCATTCCTGATCACCACAGAGCCCCCTGCAGTGGGGCCCATGCCACCGTGGGGACACCTACACTGCGGCTCGGAGGATGGCGTCTGCTTGGTGCAGGGAATGCACTGCTGCTCCAGCTGCCCGCTGATCTGTGCCTTCCGGTAAAACCTGCCAACAGAGAGAGGGAATTAGCACAACTCCTGGTCTCCAGCGAGCTCCCACCACCCTGCTGTGCAGCCAGCTGTGCCACCCACCCCACAGCAGAGGGGACAGCCTGATCTCACACTCCTGCCTGGCTGGCAACAGGAGCAACAGGGCTGTCACCACTGGCTGGAGCCCCACCACACCTACTTGTTCATGTCCAGCCATTTGTCAAGAGGGAACATCTTTCCAACAGGCCCCCCCTCCCACAGCTGCTGAAGGGGATTATAATCATTAATAGCTCCCCAAAGGGCCAGGAACACCCCAGCTACAGCTCTGTCCGAGAGGAGGCTCACACACCAGAGCCCTGATGCTGTTCTCAGGTCCCATGTCCTCAGTGGCCCCTCTGCCCACCCTGGTGTGCTCACCCCGGCAGGCACTCCCCGCAGACCGTGTTGGTCGTGGCTGTGCAGTTGGATTTCTGGAAGCGGTTGATGAGGGCRCAGGACAGGCAGCGCTCGCAGCGGTGATGTCCCCAGTGGTCCTTGAACTTCCTGGGAGGGCAGGGCACACACTGTGCGTCCCCGCCGCTGCCGTCACCGCAGTCCTGCAAGGCAGGGGTTGGGGGCACGGCTGTGGTGAGGGCTCCAGATGGCACTGAGGGCACCCCCTGCAGCAGAGCCCTGCTGGCACCCRCCCACGTGCAGCCCAGCCATGCAGTGTGACCTTGCTGGGGCTACAGACCACAGGATGTTTARACTTCCATYAGTAAAAAAGGAAATCAGGTTGCTYYTCGTGCTGCCTTAAATCCCTCACCACCTCCTGCTTCCATTGTCTCACCTCCTGGCAGGGTGAGTGAAACAATCCCATCCCTTGCTACTGAGTCTCAGCTCCTCCCAACATGCTGGGACCTAAGATCACCTTTCTGAAGGAAGGAAGGCTGGCAGAGGATTCACCCAGCTGTGCCACCCATTATGATGATTTCCGCTCCTCACACAGAAGTGAATTTACCTTGGAAAGCTCCTGCCCGGGCATGCACTTTCTGCAGGGGACGCATTTCTTCTGGTCATCCAGGTACTCGCTCTCTTGGCAGGCCATTATGCTGAGGAGGAGATGGGAGCTTGGGGAGGGGAGGAAGAGAAGGCAKAGGGATCACAGCCAGCCCAACACCTTTGGGATGAGCAGTGTCTTTGTCTCTGGGTGGACATTTCCACCAGGCCAGGATGGCAGCCGACACTGCTGAGCACCACGGGTGGGACTTGGGCAGGAGGAAATTGCTCCCTCCTCGTGGCTCCATCAGTTCTAGGCTTCCCAACAAGGCTGACAATGAACTGCCCCATTCTGCTGCCACCTCACAGCCTCACAACGMAGCAAATGGAATTTGAGTCACAGTATTGAGGTACTGACCACTAACTGCTCAGGTCACCACTGCATTCTGCCACAGCTCTGGGCACCTGATACAGTCAGGAGAGAGCTTGGCCCCACAAAGGCTCAGCAAAGCCCCAGCTTCAGGATCCAGCAGCCCAGCTCTGGCCAACRAGGCTGCACTGGTGTGACAGCACCAAATGCTGGCCAGCATCCCAACAAGAGCAAGCAGTTCAGACTGAAGCTATGAAAGCGAGCAATTTATTTGGAGTTTTGGGGCTGCCTGATTACTTCTGCACATTCTAGATGGGTTCTTCCYATGATGACAGAAAGGGAGTAAAATCTGCCCTCACTAGACCAAAAAATGCTTTTGCCATTACTTTCTGCAGAAAATCAGGAGAAAAACTGTTCAACCTGCCTTGGGAGCAAGTTCTGAACACCCACCAGGAATAGTGAACACWCTTTGGAGGGCACCACCCTGAACAGCCTGGGAGAACCTGGCACTTCCACTAGAACCATCCTCTGGGAGAGGAGCTTGGCCACACATCTGGCCCCTGCAAGGCTCTTGCAGCAGAGGGGGATCATCCACAGGACCCCCAGCCCCTCCTGCCGCAGCTCCTTCCCCTCCCACAGCAGCATTCCTCTGCCTAATCCCACCACTCCCTCGCCGGTGCCTTTTGGAAGCGGACACTTGGCTGGGCTCCGCCGGCTCTGGAGGGCCGAGATTCATGGGAGATGAGGTCTGAGCTCTGCCCAGACGAGCACAGAGCATGAGTCACCCTCACCCGCAGCTCCTGCTTGCAGCAGCACATGGGCTGACACCAGGAGCAGCAGCCAAGTCCGGGGGGACAGGCCAGGAGGAGCTGAGGGGACTAAATCTGTCTTGCAAGCATCTCAGGAGGGGCACAGGCACAGCTTATAATCAGCATAAAGGTTCCTGACACTGTTGAATTAAAAAAGATTTGTCACTGTCTCAGAAGGGGATGAAGAGGGAGCTCAGTGCCACTGCCCCAGAAACGCACAGRGTTTGGTGTCAGGGTTCAGCTACAGGCTGGGAAAATGAAAAGCAGGGAGACAGGTCCCAAATGGGTGACACATGACTGTTTTGGGGGGCTGGCACACCGGGCAGGTGTCACCCATCTGCTCTGGGAGGTCAGAGGCCTGAGCCCAAGCTCTTGGTGAGTTCAATACCCACAGCCCAGCTCACCCCTGCCAGCAGGTGCCTCTGCCTGATGCTCCAGTCTGGAGTTTGGGTCAGGCTTTTGCTCCTGATAAGARCACAAGATGAATGAAACAGAATTGCAGGCAATGGGAAAGGAGCCCAAATACCAGAGTGCAGAAAGCAAGGGATTGATTTTTTACCTGCTTTCCAAAGTGCTGTAGCACAAGGAAAAAAGCACTGGTTAAAAAAACCTCAACAAAACAAAACCCCCCRAACCAGCAGGATTTTCAGTGAAATGGTCCTGTGAACACAACTTGGCCACTTTCTCTCATGTATTTACAGAATTTCCCAGTCTTTCAAAGGGCCTGCAGCCGAGACAATGCCCTCAAAGCCCCCTCCCYGCAAGAACCCGGTTTAAAGCAGTTTGCCAAATACAGCAAGTTACACAGGCCAAAGGAATCCTGCATCAGAGCCACTCCAGCACAAGGACGTCTGCCAGGATGATGGAATCACTCAAGGAGGAGGAGACAGCCATCCTGACGTGCCAGCTGGATACTGGGCACAGAGCAGGTCTGCTGCTGCTCAAGTGTAACAATACAGGGAAAGAACACTTGGTTGAATATCTGGTGTGAAATTCAAGGCTGTGGGACACTTGCAYTTCTTATTTCAACACCTCCAGACCCAAGACACTTGATTTGTGCATGGAGGACACGTCTAAATCACCTGGTGCTGCCCTGAWGGCAGCAACCTTGGATCACCTAATGTGTGACTGAACCAACTGGTCTTACTRAGGCAAAAGGAAAAGCCAAAACCAACAACTCCCACCTCATTTGGAACCACAGGGAGTCACCCTGCGACTGCCAGAGCCGCACATTTTATCTGCCACAGGGACACACTATCGAGAGCACACAAGTGACACAGTATCAATATGCTCAAAAGATGGTGAAATAAAGGACCCCCTGCAATCAGAGCCAGATGCATGAGTTCTAACTTAAAAACATCATCAATTTGTTAAAGAAGTCTTTTACTGCCTTAAAGAGACATCCTGACCGAGSAGGAGAGAAGAATGGGCTCGGAAGTGCATCAGCCCTTCAGATACCAAAACCACAAGCTCCTGGATGAGTTTCACTGCATGAGATGAAATCGTTCCAGCACTGCCACAGCGTGAGCTGCAGTTCATCCCCCCTGTGACAACCCTACAGCTCAGCCATTGTCTTTCCTCTGTGAAAGTGTAATTTTCAAAAAAAATTAGGCGATACTGGAATCCAATCTATTTCTTCTTTGTGCAGCTAATGGATTCTGGTAGGAAAATGAGGGTGAGGAAAATAGTAAGTGAAAAGGTACAAAATGAAAGTAATCAGTGAAAACATTTTGCTGCTGTCCATTTCGCTCCCCATCTGTCCAGCAGATCCTGGGGCAGGGATGCAGGCAGGACAGGAGGAGATGGGGTGGGCTGCTTGCTGCCCCAGTTGCAGACTCTGTCCCCTCAAGCCATGGGKCTGTGCTTGCCTGGGACAGGAGGTGCCCAGACCCACCCTCAGGGGCTCTGACACCCACACCTGGCAGTGGATCTTCCACRTCAACACGTGAGCCAGCACATCACAGGAGATCCCCACTCTGCTGCAGSACTGACTGGCACAGTCAGGCAGCACTACGCCTCAGATGAGACACTTGTATACATTGGAACCTAAAAACAGAGAGCTGAAATCCTAAATAAGAACTTGAAGTGAAAAGCAAGGGGAAAAAAATGTTATCTGGAAAATATGAGTGCATGCCTCATGGCTGGCCACAGCCAGTTCCAGTCTCCTGCTCAGCCATTCCCTCCCCCTGGTCCAGGCAGCAGCTCCTTGTGCTACAAACCATKCTGGGAGAACCTCGGCAGCACTGGGACTCCTGTGGGCAAAGGGATTCTCACAGAAGAAAAAAAAAGGGGAAAAAAGGTGAAATCGGAGGCTTTCCACGTGGCTTGGAAATCAGCAGATTTCCCAATATGGACATTCTACACACACAATAGCCCACTAATTGTTTTATCTGGAGTGGCTGGGGACTTCAGTTTGCTTTAAGTGAAAGCACWGTGTGCTCGGGTGGGAGAGGAAGTGCTCCGGGCTGCTTTCACCCCTCTTTAGCACACAGCAGGAGTCCCCAGGGCACAGTGCCCACTTTCCAGTGATTTTTGCCAAGTTAGGGTTGTCCACCTTGGAAATCACGCTCTGCCTTACCAGGTATCTCAAGTAACACTTCCAAAGCTCCTATCAATTTGCATAAAACTTTGGATTTCCATCTGGTTTTCTTTGCCTCATAACTAATTCTTAGTAATTGACACTATCTTGCTGTAATAATCATTGAATCACTGAAGCCATAAAGTTCTCTGAGACCATGGAGTCCAACTGTTCCCCCAACCCAGGCCACCACTGTCCCCAAGTAACACATCCACACATCCATTAAATCCCCCCCAAACGGTGACTTCACCACTGCTTGTGCTAGGGCAAGAAATCTTTTGGGGAAGAAATTGCCCTTAACATGCAACCTAAACCTACCGCCYCYCGCAYCTGGCAGCTGCTCGTTTTTGGAAARGAAAGCCCAGGCGATGCTGGCGGCGGCGGGCCGGGTGCGGGGGCAGCGCTCTGCCCACGCGGGTGCCGGTCGTGGGAGCGGCCCGGAGAGCGCCGGCCGGGCTCACCCACCGCCCCCACCCCCGGACAGACCCCCGCAGCCCGGACAGACCCCCGCAGCCCCACCGAACCCCCGCAGCCCCGCCGGCGCCCCCGCCGCCCGCTCGGGGGAAGCGGCAGCGCGCCGGGATATGCCCGGGCACGTCCCAGCCAGGGGCTCCGCCGCGGCACGACCGCCCCGCATCACCCACCCGGCTCCCCCATCACCCCCCAGACTCTGGCTCCGGTCCCCACATCTCCCGGCCCCCGCACCCATCGGTCCGGTCCCGCCCGGCCCGGTACCGCCCGCGTTCGGAGATGATCACGGAACCGGCTACAGCCCACGTGTATCGCTGCCGCTGCGCCGCCGGGAGCGGGACCCGCCGCAGATCCCACCGGATCCCCCCGATCCCGCACCCGCCTCCGCCCGGCGGTGACACCGGCACCGGGGAGGTTCGGGATCGCCGCGGGCGGGCGGGCAGGTGCGCGAACCCCTCGGCTTACCTGTGTCCCGGTGCTAGAAGGACAGCGCGGACCGGGACCGGACCGGGACCGGAGAGCGGCGGCACCGGGAGAGACAGCGCGGACCCGGATCGGGACCGGACCGCCACYGACTCGGTGGCCCCGCGTGGAGCGGAGCGGGTCCAAGCCCCTCCCGTCCCGGGCACCGGGAGTGCCCCCGCGCCCCGCCCTGCAGCCCCCATTGGCGGCGCCGCTGGAACGGGGCGGTGCCGGGGAACGGCGCCGGCGGGGGCGGCCGGGGAGCGGCGGGGCCGGGGCTGGACCGGGGGGCGGTGGTGGGGCCGGGACCGGGGAACGGGCGGGACCGGAGCTCAGCGCCGCGCCGAGTCTGGGCTCGGCAATGACGGGGCATCTCACTGTCACTGTGAAACTGGAGAAATCCCGGGCTGTCGGGACCCAGTTCCCGAAGATCTGGGGTTATCCGGAACCCCAGGTATGGGCTGGAGGCTGAAGGAGCCCCGTGCCCGGCAGCCCCTCGCCAGCCGTGGGGGAACATACGCCAGAAAGGAATAAACTCAGCAGCTCTGGCTGTGGCTGTGCCACGCTCAGTGTGTGTCCGTGTGTGCGCCGTGTGTGTCCCGTGTGTGTCCCGTGTGTGTGCCGTGTGTGTGCCGTGTGTGTGCCGTGTGTGTGCCGTGTGTGTGCACCGTTTGTGCGGGAAGCACACACCGGCCACGGCCGGCCCCGTAACCGAGGGTTTCTCCCAGCTTTAGCTTTAACATCTCCCAGGAGTTGCCGTGACTGACCGTGAGTCCCCGGTTGGTTTTGGGGAGCCGCAATGGAGTTATCCCAAGATCGCCGTGCCGTCACTGACTCTACCCCTGTGTGAACCCAACCCGTGTGTGGAGCTGAGCCTCCCGGTGCAGGGCGAGTTGATTTTCCCAGTGACAGCCCTTCGTG